GGGTGGTGGGTGGGTGCCAAGACAGAGACACCACTGCATATTTTAGTAAATATTTTAGTAAAACTGTCATTTACCAGCTGCAAGTTCTTCTATTAACAGCAAGGAGACATCAAAACAGACTTGCTTTGTTCTGGGAAGACCATTTGAGAGGCCCCTTTCAGTTACATAAAGTCAGGCAAACAGACACATAGTGTCCAGAGAAGAGGGTGCAGTGGGCCATCTATCGGCATTGAAAGAGGTCTGCCTTTCTCTACCACGGCTCGCTGGACAGTGGCCTCTTGGAATGGAACGCTCTGAGGCCCCATCTCTCTCTCTCTCTCTTTTTTTTTTTAGGTTCTACCTTTTTTGCAGATGCCACAAATGTTCCCAGAGTCCCCTGAGAGGACACACTGCAGAGAAACAGAAGCCCAGCTGTGTGAAAGAGGAGCTCTGGGCATAGGAGGTGACTAATGCAAGAACTCATTCAGCTCTCTGCCACGATGGTATGCCTTCGGAAAAATGGCTGTGTGCGCACACACATCTGTGCATACCTGGGCACATGTCCACACACACAAACACACACACACACACACACACACACCCAACAGAGCCATGTTTCTAAAAAACGGCATCCTGGGATCCCAAGCCAACAGGGCACGTGGAGACCACAGCTGAGCGTAACATAAGGAGAGAGCCTCCTCCTCTCTGCACCCAGAGCAAACAGTGCCGGATGCAAGCAGCGCTCCCGGGCCCTGAGGGTGGGCCGCGTCCGTTCAGCCGCACCGTGGGGCGGCGCCGCGGTAACAAGAGGAGGGAGAAGACCACACGCAGACTCCCATGGGTACTGATGGGATTGGGGTTCTTTTCTCCCCCCTTAGCGGGCGCACCTCGGCCACTCAGGTGGGATGCTGACCCCTGGGCCTGAGGGGGCTGGGCCGAGGGGACCACAGCAGCCGTGCCGTTGTGTACCACACAAACACTTCCAGGTGTGCCGTGATCTGCAAAGAGCCAGGAACCGATGACCCGGACTACCCAAACTGTGTCGTCGACGGGAGACATCAGCATCGCCCTCGGGCCCCACCCCCATCCTGCCGAATCAGAATCTGCATGTGAACAAGGTCCCCCGGGGACTCCTGACACCCCAAGTCTAAGGAGCACAGCTAGGTTTCCCCAGCTATCCGAAGGCAGAGTGTTCCTGAAGGTAGAACATTCCTCGGAAACCTCTCATAAGCCAAAGTGGTGTAAGGCAAAGAAGCAATTACCATTTCCTAAAAGCAAAAATCCTCTTGGGATTTCTTGTGGTTAGTGAAAACAGGTACCGTACTAAGTCCCTCTCTCACAAAAGCGAAGTGGGGTAAAGCAAACTTACGGATAGTGGGGGAAACCTGTAATGAGAAGTGACCTCTTAGATTGGTTCCCTGAGGTTATCAAGGGAAGGAGGGCTCAGGAGAGGAAGGAAGAGCCTGAAGTCACTCTGTAAGACTGGGCTCCAGCTAAGGTAATGTGAATATTAAAAGCAGTGAGACCTTCATGCCTGCCGCTGGTAAAGTGGATGGCACTGATGAGGGATAGGTGCCAGGTACCCTGCTCTCGCAGGGGATGCGGACACTCACAGGAGACTAGACCCATCTCCTGGGAAGCACACAGCACGCCAGCTACTTCCACCAGGCCAAGGCCGCCCAAGGACCCGCCCCGCCCAGGATGGAGTGGGGCTACCCCGCACAGAGGGATCACAAACTGCCAATGGCCACCTCCTACAGCCTCTTGAACATACATCGGTCCTTTTCCCTTCTACTCAGTGTTGCATGGATGACCCTGAAGGTGAAAGCAATCGATGCAAAGCTTTAAAGGGTCTAAAGCAATTCTGATTATGTAACGTTGAATTATCCAATGAGTCACGCGGTTGATTCTGCAGAAGGGCTGCTATGTGAGGGGGTCACTGGAAAAGGGTAACGGAAGGGGGAGAAGGAAGCAGGAGGGAAATGGCAGGAGGAAGGAGAGTCCCGCACAGAGCCATCCAGAACTAACTGCCTCTGGGTCCTTCTGGTCTCTGACCTCACAGCAGGCAAGCACCCCACCCTTCAGGGCTAACAGCACGCGGGGCTCTTGAAAAGTCCGTGTGCATCATACCGTCCACCAGCCGACATTCATCTGCAGCCTCCCCGGCCAACGCAGAGACCCTTCTGTGGGAGACGGGGCCTGGGCTCCTGCTGCACAGCCCGGAGCCTGTGCAGTGCACATCTCAGCTGCAGGGCCTGGGCTGGCCAGAAAGGGCCAGAGCCATGACTTCCACGGGCTAACAATGAGCGATGGGGCTGGCACAGGCTCGACCTCTGGCAGGGCTTTACTTGACCATGCCTCTCAGGGCCACTCTGACATAGTGGCCCCGTGGGCGAGCACCGTGGCTCTGCGGACCCCGAGGGGCACAGTCTGGGAGATCCCAGATCTGCCTGACTCATGACAGTGAGGCCCACTGGGACTGAGGATGGGCTGGGCTCAGAATGAGGGTGGGCGTCCCCTCTCTACTCTGACCAAACATGGGGACACTTGTGTTCCCTCTCTGTCCCTCATCTGGACTAAAATGATCTCTAAGGTCCCTTCCAGCTTCTAAACCTGTTATTTAATTTCTCTTTGTATGTCGTGCAGCCCATGAACTTGTGAGTCTGACTTCAAGAAGTTCATGGTAAGCACAGTCGTGGTCTTCCACATCCAATATCCAAGATAATAGTGTAGTAAAAGTCAGAATACTCCATGTAACTTCAAACCCATTCCAGACCCGCTGGAATGTGGAGGTTAGTTTAACATCATCAGTAAGGGTGTCTGGTGGCTTTCTTAAGACAAGAGGCGCCATATGTGTATCCTTCCCATCTATCGGTTTTCTTTTTTAAAATAAGTAGTAAATATGAGGAGGTTCCCATAATACTCTAAAGCAGCCAAAGCTCTCCACGGATTTTTTTCCCCAAAGTCTGTGAGGAAGCTGGCATCCTCAACTGCTAAAAACATGAGGCATAGATTTGTCAAGTGGTTAAAGGGAGATATTTTGAGATTGAATAAAAATTACTGCTCATGTCAAACTGCAATGATACTAATATTTATTTAAGTCAGAATGTGGGAATTATAACTCAGTCTTGATTATTTGTGCCTATGTATCCAAAAAAAGCAGAATGTGGATAACTCAGTGGTCCCCAAACCTTCTGATTTCTTGCCAAGCCTTACAGAAAATCACACTAAACTTCCAACTAGGTGAGGAGAATCTCTGCCATTTTCCCACACTTAAAGCTCAAAGGGTAGCTTCTTAAATGCCCCTTGATCAAATGTATGTTCACTAATGGCCCAGAAAGTAAATGACGTGACCAAGGTCACATGTCCAGCCAATGGCAAAGTTGAAACTGCCACCGGGGTCATGAGGCACCACCCCTCCCAGGCCACCTGGACAGGGCAGGGCACACTTCGTCATACTGTGGAGCTCTGCCAGGCTGTCCCAGGGATGGCTCTGAGGCAGGACACAGCTGAGGGGGCTCCAGAAAGCCAGTTCTGCTCTGTCCTCGGTTTCGGAGAAGCCACCTACCCCGGAATTCGCTCCAGTCACTCAGCCCCTCCACAGAGTGCTGTGACAGGAACACAAGATAATAGGCCGAGAAGGGGGGAGCGCTTCCAGTGGCAAAGGGCAGCCCCGCAGCCTGGTTAATGAGGAGGTTTATAGCTGGCTGAGCTGCTCTGAAGGGACAATCCAGCCTCATGAGGGACAATTAAACAAAGGAAGCCATGAGCAACACAAAAGAAACCACGTGACCACAGCCGTCAGCTCTCCCTGAGACAAATCTCAGGTCTAAGATGCAGTCTGATGACAGGAAACACAGCAGGGGCTTCCATGGTCTGGCTCAGAGGTCTGCAGAATGTTAGCCTTGGGTGACACTTGGAGCCAAAGCCAAGAAACACGCTCCCCTAGAGGCATCTTTGCCTTATCCGTCCTTTCTGTCTTCCAAAACCTCATGATAGATGCACTGAGCCAGTGTTAAAAAAAAAAAAAAAAATCTGTTTTCCTTTCAAAACACGATTACCATGAAAACCCCTACCATTTTATAGTGTATCATAATTTTCAAAGTGCTTGCATTCACCTCTCCTGGTACTCCTATTTATCCATTCATTTACCAGTAAATATGTGTTGAGTGATGACTGAGTAGCAGACACCTGCTCTGGGTGCTAAGGATACAGCAATGAACAAGGCCGGGCAAGAATTCCCATCCCATTTTACAGATGAGAAGACTAAGGCTCACAGCAGCTAAGTGCTTGGTGCACAGGCACGTTCCCAGTCAGTGGCAGATGGAGAACTACATTCAGATGTCCAAAGCTGAGGTCAGTTTTTCCCCACTACTTCTCACCATTATATAGCCTTCTGTTGGGTTTTTATACACATTGTGCAGAAAAACAGAATACTTTTTGTGCTTTGGGGTTTGGAATTTTTATTATCAGCGGCCAGCCAGCACTTCTGACCTCAAACATGGCTCTGTTCTCACCGAAGGTGCAGACAGTCCCGTGGCGACTAAGCCAGGCTTATGCGGCGCCCTGGAGTCCCCGGCAGAGCCGCGGAGGGGAGTCAGGCACACGGCGG